AATCAAACATACGTCGACCCTCGCCACTTACATGTACGTCGATTTGCATCAGGCAAAGTGGCCTTTTTAGAGTACGTAAAATTATATGGAATGTTAATTGTATTGTAAAGAATCGCACGATGCGTACATTACAAAATATAGAAACGCCTAGAACTGATTTTTAAAAACAGTAAATAGAGAAGCCTGGAGAACAAACCTATAGGCTATACTGCCGACTCTCTTTCCAGCCTAGCGTATGGAGTCAGTTTACCCATAATTATTTGTTCGTAGTTGTAGAAGTAATAAATAATATAAAATGTTTTTGAGATGGGTGGTGTGAGTGAGTGATTGTAAGATCTCACAAATTATGATTTTGGAACAACATAGAAGCAAATTTATTCAAATGCGAGAAAGACAACACGTCAGAATTTTTTGGGTTACGTTGTAATGCATTAGGTTAAAATTGTAAAGCTTGGTGAAGCTAGAATTCTTTGAAGCTTGTTTTCTATAAATTCTATCTTATCTTAACGCTTAATCTGTATAATTTCTTCATTTTTTTTTGTTAGGCTGAACATGGCAACGGCAGGACAAGGGTCTCCCACCGGAGTTGGTCAGGACTGCTGTGATGGGTCTCCCACCGGGGTTTCCCAGGTCAACTGTGACAGCAAAAAAGGCGATGTTCAAGGCCAGGCGGCAGCACAAGTCAACTTGAATAACGCTGGTGAGAAACCCTACATGTGTGGGGAGTGTGGATACAGGACAGCTAGAAAGTCTGACTTATCCCGACATATGAGGACCCATACAGGAGAAAAACCCTACAAGTGTGACCAGTGTGACTATTCTGCAGCACAGAAAGCTCATTTGGACAATCATCTAGCAAAACACACCGATGAGAAACCCTACATGTGTGGGGAGTTTGGGTACAGGACAACTCAGAGGTCTGCCTTATCCCAACATATGAGGACCCATACAGGAGAAAAACCCTACAAGTGTGACCAGTGTGACTATTCTGCAGCATGGAAATCTTCTTTGAACAAGCATATAGCAATGCATGCTGGTGAGAAACCCTACATGTGTGGGGAGTGTGGGTACAGGACTGCTCGCAAGTCTACCTTATCCCTACATAAGAGAACCCATACAGGAGAAAAACCCTACAAGTGTGACCAGTGTGACTATTCTGCTGCACGGAAAGACACTTTAGACGATCATCTCACCAAGCACACCGGTGAGAAACCCTACATGTGTGGGGAGTGTGGGTACAGGACAACTCAGAAATCCATCTTATCCCGACATATGAGAACCCATACAGGAGAAAAACCCTACAAGTGTGACCAGTGTGACTATTCTGCAGCAAGGAAATCCCACTTGGACATTCATCTAGCAAAACACACTGGTGAGAAACCCTACATGTGTGGGGAGTGTGGGTACAGGACTGCTGACAGGTCTCACTTATCCCAGCATATGAGAACACATACAGGAGAAAAACCCTACAAGTGTGACCAGTGTGACTATTCTGCAGCAGAGAAATTCAATTTAGACAAACATTTAGCAAAACACACCGGTGAGAAACCCTACATGTGTGGGGAGTGTGGGTACAGGACCACTTACCGGTTTTCATTAGCCAAACACATGAAAGGCCATACAGAAGAAAAACCCTACAAGTGTGACCAGTGTAGCTATTCTGCAGCCTCTAAGTCTATCCTATGTCGACATATGAGAATTCACACAGAGGCACCAAGTCTGCAACTGTGACCATCTCCTAGTGACATTTAGTACGCACAGTCTGCTGTTAACCACAGTTTCTTTACTTAATATTTTGATACGAATCTTAAGGGTATATGACAGTTATGTTCATTAAGATTTAGGCTGAATATTCTGTAAGAATTCATGATGTTTGCAAGTAGGCAAAGGTTTTTCTCAAGAAAAAGCCCTATACTTGTTCACTTTAAAATCTAATTAAGTTATGGCTATGATTCAGGTACAAGAATAAGTCTTAGTTTCGCTTAGTCGCCCATTTACTTTGTTGTAATACCAGATATCAAAATCTATTTTAGCTACCTAGAATTGTAGAGTGAGACTAGTAAGCATTATAGTATGGATTGGATAATGTACATATACATAATCAGTAATTAACATCGGTAAGTGATTGTACACAGTAGTTGAAGCTGAAAGGTAGACATT